GGATTGGGTCGCATTAATGAACGCGTTTTTTCTAGCTATTAATTTAGCATTATCGTATATTTTGATTAATTGTGGACAATCGTAATCAAATTCCTCGTCGAGATCTTCACTGGATTCTATAGAGATATTTATATCATCGCTTTCTTCATTTAATTCTATCGAAAATGTTTGAATTGCGTTTAAAAGGAAAGTTTCTTGTTTATTACAATCAGTTCCATTGTCATCACATTCACTAAAACAAACTATAAAAACGGCTGATATCATTTTTTCAAAATCTGAATTGGTTTTGCAAGTTGTAATAAGACCAATACACCGGACATAAAAATCTTTAATGCGCGGAAGCTTATTATTAAAACACTTCCACTTCGTGATTATTTTTATCAGATGAGCTATATCTACACGAATGTAGCATCTTATTGTGGTCTGAACACTTTTGCCAGAAAGATGACGTAGACAATAGTCTACATATGTTTTTAAATTACATTCGTTAAAGGCTAAAGAAATTCCGTTTAGTAAAGCAAACGAAAAATCTGTTACAGTTTCATACGGCGCAGAAGCACCGGATCGCAGCCATTCTTTTATAAAATAAGATATAGTATTTGCATCATGTTTTTCTGAAAGAATCTGGAAAACAGGAAATATTCCTTCTGCAGTTGGTACAACAGCTTGATACAAGAAAATTGCATTGGATTGATTAGTAGGTCTTTTTAATTTGTGAACTATTGACCCAGTGGTGTCAATCGATAAAGGTACTTTAGTATTTATAATATCTTTATACAAGTCGAGCTGCATCGGCGACCAATACATGCAATAAAATTTGTCTAGCGCTATTTCTCGTATTATGCTTGCAAATTCTACATTATATTTCATTTGTTGTAATGACATAAGAGGATCAGGAACCTTGTATAATCCTAAATCTTTATCCTTAGCTTCTTGACGGGCCTTCCTAAGAACACTGCTACTGTATAAATGACTAGGTTCTGGATCTCCATATGTCATAATTTTTGTTGCTTTACAACGCCAATTAGCAGCCTTTGTAGAAAGCAATTCTTGCTGAACTTCCTGTCTTTCTAATCCTTTAAGCATACGTTTGCTAACGTGGGGAACCCCTCGAGTATCTATCGTTTTCACAGAAATTTTAATACCGTGACCAGATATGGGCTTTTTTAAACAATGTCCTTCAAAAATTGCGCCACATTCATTGCATTTGCCAACTATTTTTAGGTACACGCTTTTTTCATGATCGAAAATCTTCGCTCTCTTAAAAGAATATGCGCAAGGTAATTTACTTTTTTCCCAGCATGCTTTCTGTATAACATCTGTCCAACCCTGTTTTAATACAGTATAGCGACGTTTATTACTGTATCGGCTTTTCTCTTTGTAAACGATAGAAAAAGGTGCAATGCTATTCCATGAAGCATCATCTATATCTAAGTCAAATAATAAATGTGGACAATTATAATTATTTTTGCTGATTCCACTAACATCGCTACTTGCGATGCTTTCAGTAGATTGATCGATTGAGTCTTTCGATCTGTTTACACTTACTTCATTTATATCTGCTATTATATTCATTTGTTGCTTGATTTTAGTTAATACCATATTTCTGTCTTTTTGTACATGAAGGAATAAAGTATCACGTTTAATTTTATTATCTAATAATGCACAAACATTGTTCCAAACTTTGTCGGAGCGTGGCTTAAGTGTCCCTTTAGCGTTTTGAAAAATTTCGGCTTGTGCGAGAGCATTAATAATCTCGTTTGTGGAGACAGCAGCTGCTCGTGGCATTTTTAAATACGAGAAATCAAATGTAACTGTCGCTAAATATGAACAAACAAGTAACAAAGAGCAAAAGTAACAAAGATAACTATTCAAAGTAAATTTGCTTCTATAATGTTAAAAAACCTATTTTATTATTACAAAAGGCAAGAAAAAAAGTCAAAAGTGTGCTGTGTAGTCAGTTCAGTTGTGCGATTTGCTCATACATTTTCGTCAGTCGACGAAAGCCGTTTAAAGTGTAAGCTGCGCTGTGTAAGACAACGACGCATCGGGCGATACTGATAGTAAGAAATCCCCTCTATCACCCAGCATCGTAAGATTACGCCAGGCCTGGCCGAAAGCTTGCTCGCGAGCAGCCTTCTAAGCCTTAGAACAAAAGATAGCGAACAAACATAAGTGGGGACGGCGAGATAGTGGGGGCCGAGTCCCCATCCAGCGGACTCTGAAGGCTGCTCGCGAGCAAGCTTTTGGCCAGGCCTAGGTTACGCAATGGACGGGACTATGTGCCACCACTGCGCGCGCGCATGCACATTACGCATGCACGCACAGCTGAGTCGGAGGGTGAAGAGTGGAGGGAGGAGGGAGGGAAGG